TTTGGGTGTGGATGGGCGGAGACATGGGTAAATTGATTGGATTGGCTGTAGCAGGTGTGGTTGATTCGGGAGTATTCCAGAATAAGGCAGGATATAAAAGGACACGAGAAACAGGTGAGGGATGATCGTGTTGTGTACCTGTGGCTGGATACTTTTGGGAAGGGAGGGTGTCGTTCGCAGTTGTTTAGGATTGCCGGCGACGAAGACAGACAGCTGAGGGGGATTAGTTGTGCCTGTGTTAGGAGGGGAGGTTTGTTGCCTCCTGTAGTGAGTTAGGGGTGGGCTTGTAGGAGAGTGGAGTGCCGAAATTGGGTTTGGTATATTGTCGTGGGCTTGATTCTTGCTATTTTCTTTGAGCTTGTGCTCCCTTCGCATTGTAGGTTAGCGTCTTGAATTCAAACCCCATGGGGGGGTGTCATCCGCTGGCGAGTTAAGCAACTTTTATATGTGTGCGTGAATGTGTGCGCGCGTGTGTGTGCGGGTGTGTTAAGGGGGAGGGAGTAACTGCATCCCGCACTGGTGCTTCTCGTTGGTGTGTGTGCAGCCTTATAGTGTGTGGGGATTATGTGGTCTGCAGTGCCTCTTTAGAGGGTGTAAGCTTTAATTTAATGTGTGATGTAATGAAGCCCATTGTCGGGTATTGCTGATTACTCCTACCTTCGTGATGTCTTTCCTTTTTAAAAGTGCTTATGAATTAAGAAAGATTGTCGATCCTTCTATATAAATCTTCGGTTGTGATCATTACAGGCTTGGGTATTTGTTGCAGCTTTTTACTGCACTAAAGGACCCACATTTATTACAGTATTGAAGATTGTGTTTTGGGTGCCACACCCCAAAAGGCCTATAAAGACCCAGAGCCGACACCTATGGTGTTCTTTCTGTACATGCTGAATGTATGTCAGATGGTCGCTCCCTGATTATAATCTGAATAGATAATAAACTGGTGACTTGCAACCACTCCTCGACTGTGCTGTGAATCTCTTCTCATCAACGGACCCGGCGGAGTTCGACTCCAACAATTGCTGAGAATGTAATAAGTAAAAGTTTTGTTAATTTTTCATTGTAACAACTTTTACATAGTGGTGACTTGTTTGCATCAAAAAATATTGGTCATTAAAATTTTGCATTTTAGTGTTATCAAGTCTAGAATATTTGTGGTGTTCTACCACTGTGGATAACAGTAAAGATTTATGTACTTACATAATGTAAGTACACACCATCATGTTATTTTAAGCTCTGGCATGACCATATTGCTGGATGATTTAATGCAGAAAAATTGATTTTATCATGGGCGCTAATATTCTTGTATCAGAATAAAACTGCAGAATTTCTCATTCAGATGGACTGAACCAAGGCATGTCAAAGCAAACCACCAAGTGAATTTTTTTCTTTTTTCAGGTTACCACTGACATGAAATGAATTGGAACTGTAAGTTGTGTGGAATTTCTCTCAGTTCTAAAACACACCTACTTAAACATTGCAGATTAAAGCACAGCCATTTCCGTAGAGTTAGCCCACTTCCATGCCTATATGCTGACTGTATATGTACATTCCAGTCATTTGGTGCACTAAAAACACACTTGTCAAGATACCATACAGCTGAAAGTAGCTTCAGCAAAGGTGGTAGTCTGGTGCGCCTGTCTTTGAAGTGCTCTTTATGTACCTTTCAGCAACCTTTCTCTGAATCAGTATTTTTTAGTCACCTCAGGGGACACTTAAGAAATCATGAAACTGTGACATGCCCATATAAGGATTGCAATTATAGCACAAATGTGTATTCATCATTCAATGCACACAAGAGTAGGGTACACCACACAAACGATTGGTCAGATTTTTGTGATGAGGTCATCATTCCAGATGACAGCCACCCCATCTGTACTTCTGAGATTAGTAGTGTGTGTGAAGACCTTCCTGCCCAGAATGAAGAAGCAGAGGACCAGTTTGACAGGGATGCTTTGACAAATCAGCTAAAATTTAACCTAGCTTCTTTGTTTCTAAAAATGCAGGCTATTCTTCATGTGTCCAACACAGCAACAGAAGAAATAGCTGAAAGTTTGAATCAGTTATGCTCTTTGTCCCAACCACTGATTAAACAGGCAGTTAGTGAGGTACTTCAGAGGAATGGCTATGCTGTTACTGATTCTACATTGGGCGAAGTCATCAATGCTGTAATGGAATCAAATGTTCTTTTCAGTGCCACATTTAAAGGTGCAGACCTGTCAACATCCAAACGAAGAAAAACATTTATTCAGCACAATTATCCACTTGTAATGCCAGTGGAATATGACCTAGGGGAACCTGGACACGAATCATGTATGTTCCAGTGCTTCAAATGATTCAGCAGTTGTTTCAGAACAGTGATGTTCGTAGCAAGATCCCTGAGCCTAACTCTGATCAGAGTATTTATTCATCATATCGGGATGGAACATATTTTAAGGAAAATGAATTGTTCTGTTCCAGTGAACTGAGGCTGTCTTTGCAGTTCTATATTGATGATTTTGAAATTGCAGACCCACTTGGCACTTCTCATAAAATTCATAAACTTTGTGCAGTATACTGGGTCTTGGCCAACCTGCCCTCTAAATATCGATCAGCATTACATACTATACAGCTAGCTGTGTTGTGCAAAAGTGCAGACATTAAATTGCATGGTTATGCGGCTGTACTTGCTCCATTGTTACATGATATTCGTACTCTAGAACATGATGCTGTTTTTGTTGAGTCAATGGGTCAGAATATCAAGGGAACAATTTTTTGTGTTTCTGCTGACAATTTGGCGGCTCATTCATTAGGTGGTTTTCTTGAGTCCTTCAGAGCACAGTATGTTTGCAGATTCTGTATGGCTACCAGTGATGAATTTCAGACTTGTGAAGTTCTAGATAGTGAATTCATTCAGAGAACCAAATCTTTGCATGATGTTCATGTACAGCGCACTGTACTAAATGATTCTCGAGATGGTCAGTATGGTGTGAAGGGGGACTGTGTCCTGCGTGAGTCTCTGCAGTACTTCCACCCCATCACTGGCTTCCCACCAGACATACTTCATGATCTTTTGGAAGGTGTTGTGTCAGTTGAGCTTTCTCTTTGCATTAAAGAGATGATCAGACTAAAGTACTTCACGTTAGAATATCTTAACCAAAAGATTGTTTCATTTCCCTATCAGTATACCGATAAGGTAGACAGACCTCATCCCATTCCCAAAACATTCATGTCTAGAGGGACAATAGGAGGGAATGGGCATGAAAATGCCACTTTGCTCAGGTTGTTCCCCCTACTTGTAGGCAGTGTAGTGCCAGAGACAGACAGGACATGGGCTGTTTTGATGGAGCGAAAAGATGTGGTGGAATTGGCTTTGTGTCCAGCCTTTACAGATGAAACTTTAGACTATTTTCAGTCTAAAATTCAGGACCACAGACAAATCTTACAAGAGGTCTTTCCTGAGTTTCGACTTCGGCCTAAGCATCATTTCTTAGAGCATTATCCCAGCCTAATCAAATGCTTTGGCCCCTTGGTTCACCTTTGGACCATGCGTTTCGAGGGAAAACATAGATTTTTCAAAAGGGTAGTGCATGATGCTCAGAATTTTAAAAACGCTTTGAAGACATGTGTAACCAGACACCAGTACACAGAGATCGAATTTATCGAAGGCATCGACGGCAAAAGCAGCCATGCCTTAGCAATTTGCCGTGCTGCCCTGAATATTTACAAGTTCTTGCCGGCAGATACTTGCAGTGCCCTCTTCCTCAGTTGCCTTTGTGCCCTATTGTGTATGTTTAGATCATAATAAAGTCAATAAACTTATGAAATCAAGAACAAGTTCTTCCATTTTTTACTTCTCTGTCGCCATGTCCATGATATCTGGGTTGATAAGCGCATCCCATAATTTTATG